GTACATCCTCTGCTGGGCCTTCTTGATGATGGTGTCAGTGTTGGGTTCCCACTTCAGGTGCGTGTTAAGCTCCATGTTGTTCTGACCACACCAGAGAGCCAGCTGATCAACCTCCCATCTGTAGGCCAACTCGTCACCGTCCTGGATGAGGCCGGTGATTTTGCCATATCAAGAATATAATAGAACTTAAAACAGGATAGCTCATATAAACATTAAAGCTAAGTAAAGGATATTTACAATATGATTCACTGTAGGTGATACTGATTTGTCTTTTTCTTTTTTTAAATGTCATTAATAGTTACACTTTTCTTTTCACTTTACATTTTAGTAGTCAATAGTTTGCCTTCAGCCATCTGCTGTCTGCAGTCAGCTACATCTATGTGACTCCTGATTTACATACAAAAGCACTGAAATAATCTAATCTGATAATCATAATGTCACCATTCATATGCAGACTGCGAAGACCATGGTTACAGATTCAACTTGAGCTTTGAGATGAGGGTTTGAGGTCTCAGAGAACTCTGAGAAATACAACTTTTTTCTCCTAACATTTTTTCTCAGAACAGTTGTTACTGGCATTGAAAATCACAGGAGGTTTATAGCTAAACCATAATACTTAAGTTGTCTGTTAAAGCCATCAGCCGTGGCCTCCGTCGCTCTGAAATGCTGAAATTATTCACTGATTTCCAGCAGGAAATTGTGGGTTGTTTTTTCTTTTTTACCTTGACAGTTACTCCAGAGCAGTGCTATTGGGAATTTAAATGACAGGTGGTAAAACTGACTTAATTCCTGAAGGACCTCTGATTCCTGCTCACTTAGCTGTTCTTAAATGAGAAGACAATCAACAACATCAGGCTCTGAAACACTGAGTGTCAGATGAAGTGTAATGGTTCAATAACAGCCCACGCTCAAAACACTCTGGCCTGGTTTTTCAATTTCATGCTTCTGCTCTAACTGATGTGGTTTAAAAAAGACAAAGCAGATAATAAAATGTGTACTCTGGTTGAGGGAAATAAACTTGTGTACACAAACATACAAATCCCTTTTGTTATCGTAGTGAATTTCCCTCTAGCATAGCGAATGTTTCGATGAATTGTCTGCTTTTCTTGTACATTCAATTTCTCACAAGACATTTGTGAGAATGTGGGGGGAAGCCCAACACCTACATTTAAATATATTAGCTCACACTGTAGGCGTTTTCTTGGTAATTGGTTAACATGCAAAGCGTGTGAACTAAAATATGGAGTGTGATCTTTCCTCTGTTTCAGTTCCACCTCACAGAATCAACAACATAATTCCTCTTTGCTTTGTCATGTTTACAGTTGTGCGTGGAAGAGCACTCTGTGCTCCTGTTGGTCAACGTCACAGAACACGTTGTGGAATTTGTTGTGGAAGGCAAAAAAATTCTGATGTGCCACATCTGTTACTGTTCAACTTAAGGGCATGGCTTATGATGTGTCTATGATTCATTCTATAATGATGCAACAATGTCTGTGGCTCAGGAGGTAGAGCCCGTTAATCGGAAGGTTGGCGGTTCAATCCCCGGCTCTTCCAGGCTGCATGTCGAAGTGTTCTTGGGCAAGATACTCAACCCCAAATTGTCCTTGGTGGCTGTTCCATCAGGGTATGAATGTGTGTGAATGGTGAATGCGATGTAGTGTAAAAGCGCTATAAAAATACAGAGCATTTACATTTAAATCTAACCTCAGTATATAACCACCCCTTCTCCTCTCTCTGTCACAGGAGCAGTATGTCTACGTGATCGGCTCACCTTTCGTTTCTGTCAGACTCTTCGTTTGATCGGCCGCTGCAACTTGCCCAATGTACGAGCACAGTGCTGCAAAACCTGCAGCCAGCGTTCCCACTCCAGCAGCACGTCTCGCAACAAAGTGCAACAAAGTAACCACTCACATGCCTCATCATGAACTGATTGCACCACTGAGTGATGAAATATGAATCATCATTTAAAGTCAATTATCTGAGCCCTTTCCTTGTTTCTTTACAGAGTAATTATGAATTAATTTTAATAACAGGCATTTTGTGCTGGTGAAATTATTATAGAGTGCTGAAATTAACTGGGCTAAATGAAACAAAGCGTAGCTTCTCTTAGCAAAACAATGAGAATGTAAATATTTGTATGCACTTATATTGACCAGAATGACATTGAATGAATCGAGATTTCTTTCTAACAGATATGGTGCTACATAAGGGGTCACCTATTGATGTTAAGTAGCTTAATAATGCACATAATTACACATGTGGATAAACCACTCATTAACCTTAATGGTTGGTACAATGCTTTCATTTTATTGACAGCAGCAGAAACTGAACGGATTACAACAGGTATACAATTCACAATGTTGTTTTATGTATAATGTGGTACAAGTGTTATGAAGCAAAAAGTAAGTGGTGAATTAATGCATTTAGAAATAACTGACCGTTAGCAAAGCCCCCCAGTTACTGTTGCTACAAGCATTCTGATCTTACATGGCAGGTGTGCAGTTTACAATAATGTTGGCAGATATTCTATTGAAATTCAGTGGATCCTTGCTTTCAGACAGATGTAGACAAAAGCAGGCTTCTCATTTCTGGTCTGCAATTGTCTGTTTAACCAACTATAATGGCAAAGTTTAGCAGCTGTTGCTAGCTGGCTAGGCTAACATTAGCTCCACTAACTGTTTAAAAACTCATTCTCAAGACAATTTGGTAGTGAATGTTGAAAACTGGGACATTTGAGATAGATTTTTTTTTTACAGATATTGGTCAGCATTCTCACCATTTCATGGTTCGTATAATAGTCATGAAATTAAACAAAATTGTTCTTGCAGTGTAGAGCAGATTGGCCTTAGTGTTATATGTGAGACTAGTATTCATTCTAACAATATTTGGATGCTTACCTTAATGTACATAGAGTCATGCTTCGATGTTCGTAATTTCCAACAGTATGTTTTTCATTTTAATGTTACAAGAGAATAAGCTTTAAAGAAGTTGACTAATTGTCATTTGGCAAACATAACGCTGGGAGGATATCTATTCAACTTGTTGTAACATTAGCATAAACTCTGGTGTAGTATCATCCATGATCGGTAATTTGTTACATCACTTGTAACCTCACACAACAGTGTAATTAGCTAATTATATGCTAATTTTGGCCTTGGAAGCAACGCTGGGTTACTGTAAATAGCTACACATGCTAATATTTGCACTATACATTAGAGAAGACAAAAAAACGTTTTATTTAATTCCTTACTCTTGTGATTTTGGTTTGGGAGAGGATAAAAAGACACAACCCTCCAAACGTCTATGAAGATTCTCAGTCATCCAGGTCATAGTTATCCAACGAAGGTTGAAATCAAGGGCAACTGGACTTGGTTGAAGATACTGGAAGACGTTTCGTCCCTTATCCAAAGGACTTTGGATTCAGTTCTGAGAACTGAAGAAGTCCTTTGGATGAGGGACGAAACGTCTTCCAGTATCTTCAACCAAGTCCAGTTGCCCTTGATTTCAACCTTCGTTGGATAACCCTCCAAGCGTTTTACATGCAGCGTATCGCTCTTACTACAGCCAATTCACAGTGCACCAACATGTGGAGAAATCCAAAGCTCAACAGGCCTGCAGTGCCTAGTGTTATGGTTAGTAAGCTGTAATTAGACAGTTACTGTTCAGGGCCGGAGTTTAGCTAATGGTCAGTTGAAATGTTTTGTTTTGCGGGAATTGTATCAGTAATTGTATCAGTAAAATGTAAATGTGAAAAGTGGAGCTGCAGGAAATACTTGGTGCTAGAGGCCACACAGGCTCCAAACATTTCAGGTCAGGTATTGGCAGGCCCAGTGCCTTATCTACTTGAATATTGGATAATTTGATGTCATTATTTTTACTAACCGCTAGATTGAAATATAAGTCAAATTCAGCATTTCAGAATACATGTTTTAAGCGATTGTGAATTTGTTCAAATTGGAGAGAATTATTGGACGTCAGTGTCATATCACATTAGGTTAAGTAGGGTGTATGGAATTAGGTATATATAGTATTTTTATACCTCTGCAACTGTGGTTTTTAGTTGCTGTTATGGTAACGTTTTGGAGGAACTCTAATTCTTTTGTCTTTTCTGCTTGTTCCTCCGTTCAGAATTGTTGTTAGAACTGACATGTAGGCTGCAGGCTCTTTTCAGCAGGAATTGAAAAGCAGCTCAAGCTTATCAATACAGTCCAGCCCAGGCAGCTGTAGTGCCATCACATCCTCCTGTATTTTTTTATGCTATTTAATTTCTAATTTTAATACAAGTATCTTTAGAAAAGCGTTTCAAAAGGTGCCTTCAGTATAGTCTATAGATTGTATCGTATCGTACAAAATAGCTATACTAAAGGGAGTTAATCAGACATGCAACTTGCCTTGGATCAGACTAGGCCTTTTTTATGGCAGACATTTTGACTTGTGGTAGGAAAAGCACAGGTGGACGCAGACACTGTTAATTTTATTAGTTACACTTGTGCTGTTCCTGTGTCGACAAAATATGTGCTGTGAAAAAGGTATTTTTTAGTTTTTGGATGCAAAAATAAATTAACTATTTCCGCATGCACACGCCGTTAATTTAGTCAATTTAGAAGAATTAAAAGCTTGACAAATCTGCCATGCATAATTACAATTGCTAAACTGAGTGAAGGGAGGGGTGTAAAAAAGGATCAATCACATTTGTTACATTTATAGACATATTCCCGCACTGAAATACAGTTGATATTTGACTGCAGGGATTACACTATGCATACGTTTAACTGTAACTAAGATCATCATTTTTCTTTTTCTCAATTTACTTTGTTAAACTGATCAGTTCTGTGCTTTTTCTGTTTTTAAAGATTCATTTTTGTACATTTAATTATTGTTTGTTTCCAAGCACAAAACCAAGACTCTAGCCAAGTTGCTAATTCAGTATTCTTCAAATAGACAGTAATCACATAATGTCATAGTAGCTATAAAACACATTTTTCAACAATCTCTTAACAAATTCCTACTTCATTTAAATCAACTGTTAATAAGCAAGACAACAATGACAATGCTTTGGAGAAAATGTTACATTTGTTTAATCAGTGATGTTATTACATATGGATATTCATATACTGTGCTTTGTACTACAAAATAAAACTTGTGAAACAAAATGCAAATTACAAGTCGCTTGTGTAAATGTAATTTTCACAAATGCCTGACAACTATGCATGACATGACAACAACTGAAACCAACTGAAACAGCTTTAAATACAGTTGCTCAATTATATGTTCAAACTCCACAGCTTCAAGTTTAGGAATTTAATACGGATGTGTTGAAAGTTGACAGCGCTACATTATGAGAAGCTATTTAATGAAACTAAAGGTTTGAAAATGTATTACTCACAAGCATGAAGAAGTACATACATAAAATATCAAACTTGACATTAAAGCTGGGGCATGCAATTATTTATGAAGCAAAGTTTGTTTTATTTGTTGAAATTCCCTTTACATCTCAACAGCAATCAATAAATCAAATGCTATGTACAAAAAAGAAAAAGAAAAATCAGGTATCTGTGGCGATAGCAGGACTGTAATAAGCACGGTCAATCATTTGTCATTGCTTATTAGAGTCCTGCTGGTTTACCTGCACGCTCTCTGCCCGGGTATTCACCGCAAATTCAAATGTATTTTGGGGGACTGCTTTTGGACGGAGAGTTGAAGGGAGAGGGTGGGTTTTTATTTTCAAAATCTAGATGTGTCATGCTAGTTCTCCAATATTGCCTACCCCAGCTTTAAATTCAAACTTATTTGTTTGGGTGGAGGGTCAGGCTTGACAAAAGGTGTACTGAGAATTTAACGGTTTTGAAATTTGATTACATCAAAGAAGAAAACATGCCAAACCATATCATATGGTGTTAGTTACAATTAAATATAACAGCAGTGCTTCACAATGTGGTCAGTCATATTCATAAGTTCAGTGTATATAAAGCCAGTCCCCATCACGCTGTTTTGAATTTCTTTCCATTAAAAAACAATTCAGTAATCAACAGGCGGCAGCGTCACCATCTGGGTGAACTCTTCGTAGTTGACCGTCCCATTTGACTTGACGTTTGCCTCTTTGAAGAGCTCATCCACTAGACAAGGACGACAGAGAAAACAGCTTTATGAGTGAACTTGAGTAGAAAGAACGCTGCCTGAAAACTCATTCGTCTCCCACGATTATTAAGGGTCAGAGGTTAGAGACTCCTGCTGGCTTTTTGCCTGTGGGAGTTTTTGACTGTCTGACAACAACTCCTTCAGACTACAAGTGCGGGCAACAACCATAACATCTGTGCTGAATCAGACTGTGAGTGTATTAGTTATTGCTGCAGTTATGATTAACAAAATCATTCACCTTATTATTGGGGATTTCCACTCAATTTAAAAGGTCATAAATATTTATAATGTAGTTTAGTAAGTAATGTGTTAACATGAACAAGTATTTTCCAAAATCCACCGGAGAGACATCTTAAAGTAATACCTATATGTTGGAGGAGTATAAACTAAGCATATTTACTCACGTTCTCTACTTAAGTACAATTTTGAAGTACATCTACTTTACTTGAGTGCTTACATTTTATGCTACTTTATTCTTCTACTCCATTTCATTTGAGAGGGAAATGTTGCACTACATTTATCTGAGAGCTGCAGTTACTAGCTACTTTGAAGATTTTACATAAAATATATATTAGTTTACTTTATATAGTATGATACATTGTTAAAGTAGTTACTACCTCAGCTAAAACTGTAAAAATGTAATTAATGCACCATAATTGAATAATATAATGTACTCACAGGGACCATGTTTCTGCTTTTAAGAACCTTTACTTTTGATAATTTAAGTGCCTAATTTTGTACTTTTAATTTTGATTTTAAACTTTGAATGCAGGACTTTTATATACTGTTTTATTGCTACTTGTAAGTAAAAGGTGTGAATACTTCTTCCACCACTGGTTTTACATAAACATTTTCATTATCAACATATATTTATCATTCAAGCCAACAACAAAAATTTCCTGAATACTCAAACTGGTGTTTTACAGCAGCAACAGTGATAATTGATAAAGTTAGGAGCTTCAAACCACGATTGTCTGCTCTTTTAGTAGTGGCATCACTATCTGCTTCCATAGTTCTGCAATCCAACAACATGATGGAAGCCTCCTACTGGGAAGCAGTTAAGCTTCATTCATATATAAACTGCTTTATGTGCACAGCACTGACAGTCCTTTGAATTCGATTGTTATGTTGATTTGAGACCAGTGACTATATGAATGACTGAGCAAATGGGATCAAAATCCCCAGAAATTTAACTGAATATCAGCGTTCCTGCAGGATGAGTCCTTCCATCAAACCCACTGCTTCAAAGGACAATTGGACACTCAGTTTTTTAAGCTTTGGCTCTACTATCATCAATTTGCATGCAATGAAATTTCAATCTTGACAAGTCTGAGAAGTACAAAATCCACTGTTTGGAAAACTTTGGAAAACTAAGAACTAAAACACAAAACTGCTATTCTTAAATAATCCTTTATCAACCAAAAGTTATCTTAAAATATGCTTGGACTTTAGTCATAGTATTGCAAATTTAGAGCACATTTTCAAGATATTGTCAAGACTACAGCTTTCCACCACAGTTTACCACACGTGAGGATACATTCAGGTATACTGAACAGCAGAAAAGAAAATAGTATGGTTGAGTTTATAGGAAATGGAGTAAATATCAGGAGAAAAGCTGTATTCGACAGGCAGTTCATAGGACACCTAGGAATGAGGCGAGACTGGCAAACTGTTGTGGATTTAGGGAAGCAGCTTGTAATTCCCAAGGAGACAGTGAGCTGAACTCTCACAGAGTTGCAGGGGATTGTTGCCTTTGTGAGTCTCACAGTGCCGTGGGAAGATGTAATAAATGTGACACATGAAAGGAAAAGACTCGGCTGTTGGGAGCAGGGGGAGAGAGCCAGGTAAGCTCACGTCAGTGTGGTAGAGTCAGGCTGGGCTAGACGCCATTCTTTTGACTGAAATATGTATTGACTTTTGTCATATAATGGCACAAACATCAATTGCAGTCTTATCTTATATAAACAGGTTGATTCACTTTACAAATCAATGTGGTTTGATATTCACTACAGTCATATGATGAAGTATGAGGACATTCATTGTTTTGGCTGTCCTTCAGTACACTGGATTTTGAATGAAACAATGACTCTGACATTTTATGGGTATTTTGGGGTGTTCACATTCATTTTGTGTAGCACTTTTTACGTTGTAGCACTTTTTATACATTTCCCACATTCATCATGGATCACTAGGAGTTTGTGTTTAAACCATCAAGCTTAAGGTCACTTTAGCACTTTAACCTCATAGTTTCATTATTAAATTACAAAGCCAAATAAATATCTAAACATTTACAAACGGCACTTTAACTCTGAACTATCCATTCATTTGCTCCCTGTGGTTTATAGAACAACGTATGTTAACCTTATATTGATTGTGTTGATTAAAAAGTACAAGCTTTTACTGTAGCGCAGTGTCAACACAGCAACTCAGCAGCTTCCTATAGTCTTTTTGTTCTTGTTGTTCTAGATTTAAGTCACAGGTGAAAATCAGTTAAGCCATTCTGCAGATTTTCAGCTTAAGGTTGTTATTAAAAAATATATATATATGTTTTACCTTCTTTGTCTGTGAGTTTCTCTCCTAACATGGTGAGCTTGGTGCGGAGCTCAGATGCCTGGATGTATCCTTTCTTCTGCTTGTCTGTCATCCTCAAGGCCTCCAGGATTTCTGTCTTTGGGTCTTCCTGTTGCATCTGTCTGTGCATCATTGTCAGAAATGCAGAGAAGTCCAGCTCACCTGTCTTTTCTAAACACGAATGTAATGCAGAAATTAGGTCCGTGCCATGCTGTCAAATAATCTAAAAATGATGCACAAATTGACACGTGTTGACAAGAGACATCCCTTCCTTGTTGCTCTTATTAAGGCATTTTCCTTTCTTCATTTGAGGTTTTTCATATTCATGTCAAGGGTGTCATACTGTATGTAGTACACATTGTAAATCCCTTTAAGACAGACTTGTGATTTTGAGTAAAACCTACTTAACAGTTTATTCCACCATTTATATGCCACTTTATAATTATAATAGCCTTGTAAAAGCCTTGAAAAAAAGATTTTACAATAACTTAACCTAATAATGTATAATGAAAAGAACCACTGTACATTAAACAACCCACATTAACCTAATTTAAAAACAACTACTTCCTGTATGGCAGAGTCAAGTGGATAAAACCAAAGAATGTTACTCAAAGAATTCAGAGTTTAGTGCACAACCTGTTTTGACTTTTTTTAACCAATGTCATCCTTTTCTCAACCTCGACTGGCCCACAAACTACATTAGATTTACTCTGTATGTTGTTCTTTACCAATTTTGTGAACTTGTAGATGTCTTTCGATTTCACCAAATGTGGGGCTCGTCCCCAGGCAGCGCATAACTGTGATCAGGTCTTTGGCATCAATTTTGCCCTTTTGCTTCTTGTCATACAAAGAAAAGCACTCCTTGAACTCTGCAGGGAAAATGGAAAAAGTAATGGATTACACGCGCGTAGTTTATTTAATTGTATTATTTAATAAAGGACATCAGTGGAGTCGATACAATAGCAGGTTGACTTAGAAATACATGGCATTGTTTTACAACTCATAACACTGGACAGGGTCAGACTTTGATCTTTTTTGCCAAAACTTTTTAAAAACATCTATTTCTTTTTCACCATGTATGTGTTTTTAAAAGATAAATGGATAAATGTAGAGTACATATTAAAAAGACAGATAGTAAATTCAAAAAATCGATAACATAATAATAACAGTAATAGATGGTAAAGAACATGCGGTGCTGTGGAATACTCTTACCATTGATTTGAACGGGTGTGAAGAATTTTGCCTGAAAGGTGACAATAGTATGGAGTCACTTGGCAGGTAATTACACAAACATTACTGTAACAAAAAACTGAGACAAATAATAAATAATGGCTTAATGGAAATTAAGTCTTGCTCTTACCATTTTTGCTGTAGCTTGTATCTTTCCAGGAAGGAGTTTTCTGTTGCCCACGTCACCTGTCCCTCCACCTCTGTTTAAAGTCCACCACCTGTTAGCCTCTATGTAATTTAATATGTGTTACTGTGGAAACGCAGATACCAGATCCACAGTGCTGCATTGTCCTTTCCTTTTCCAGCCCTGCAATTATTACCAGTCATAGGGTTGGTGATACTACAATGTCATATAATAAAAGGATTTACATATTTTAAATAATTTTAACTATATGTGTCTGTATGAATAAGACTGTTATAGGCTATTTGTAAAGAAAGCTGATTTAAACCACATGCAGGGTCATATAAGTGAATAAATATGATATGATGATAATAAATGTGAGTAATAACCAGCACGTAGAAAGTCAATTAGAACATTTTAATTAAGATTCACATAATCAGAATTTAACCAGTGAGGAACCAGTAACTGTATTTTTCAAGCAACAAAGTCATCTTAAGCAAAGGGTCAATACTGTACAACAATCACAATTTTACATTAAGAACAACAAATCGAAAGGCAAAGAAGTCCACTTAACATGTAAAAAAACCGAGCATAGTAACAATTTATCAGTTAAATTCTGCTTTTATAAAAAAAAATGTTTCCTTTGTATCTTAACAGTCATCTGCTCATGTTTCCTTGACCTTTTGAATATAAAAGCATTCATACTTCTTCCCATTCCATTACTTATTAGACATGTCATATAATGCAATAAAGAAGAGCATGTCGTTGTCAATGAGTGTATGTTGGTTATTATTTAGAGGTAAATGTAAACACTATCTAATCAATGACCAGGAAATAAGTGCAGAGGATATTAGGGAATAGTTCGCAGCTCTCATGCCTAAATGAATGACAATGTGAAGTACAGTAAAATCTATCAAACCTTAAATACCTTTTTAAAAAATGATAGATTTGGAACAGTCCTTCATTTAATATTATTTATTTAGTCTGGTTTTAAATCCTGCTTCAAAACGTGTTTATAGACTTGCCTTTCTGACTAACCAACAGACCCTGTTGTTGACATGACACTGCTTTGTCATATTGTATTACTATATTAGGTTGTTTTATCTTTTTTGCAGTACTTGGACCTAAATAGTTGTTTTTACTTCTTTCAAGCCATTGTTCCTACGGTACTATCTTGTTAAAGTTTGTGCATCTTGAAAAGACAGTGCACCTTTGGAAAAGTGCTATATTACAATTTATTATTAATGTTTTTTATACCATTGTGTTTAGATGATCAGTCAGAAACGTATGCTATCTTCTTCTTTTCTTTCCTGGAAACCAGACAGGAGCAGCTGTAACTGGCAGTCAATTTATTGAACCTGATCATTTTTCGTCAGCCTTACAGCATTTAGTCGTCAACTAATTGGAGTCTTTGGTAATTAAGCAAAGTAAGAATTGTTTTACACATTTTTCAATGAATCTACTGTACATACAGTATTTTCACCTTTAGTTCAACTTTGCCATTCATGCTGGGTTTTTTTTTTTTTTTTTACAAGGCTGGATTACCAATGTTGCTAATCGCACAACTGTCCCAGGCTCCCAAATCCTCAGGTGCCCCGAAGGCCCCAGGTTGTCTGAGAGCACTTACTTTGTGGTAATTTAATTAATTGTAAAATTGTTTGCAAATATGCGCCGCTAAAGCACAATCAAAAACTGAAATGTTAAAGGGTCCATAGTGGCTCCTGAATTTTTACCCAATCTTGAGGCCTGTCTTAGACAGGGGTCCTGTGTCAAAGTCTAACTTTAGTATCTTTATCATTTCTGTTGACAATACAGTCACACGGGGCACATCCTATATAAATAATAATATCACAAACTAACTCACATACACTAAACCTAGGGCAGGGTTGTATTACTGGTAGTTTTCAGCGTAGTATGGGTCAGAGAAATGTGTGTGAGAGTGGAGTGGGGTGGGGGACCACAGTTAATTTTTGCCTTTAATGCCTGCCATGGTATTACACCATCAATTAAAAAAAATTCCCATTAAGGAAAACACAAGTAGGTAATGATTATAAAACATGCTTGCTGAGCTACATGTTTCAAATTGCTCATGTCACAAGATCCAAGTAGAAAATCCCCTTCTGAATACATGGCTAAAGCCAGTGGAACCTTGTGTTTGACAGTGCAGCCACTATCTCTGTCACAGGAAATCTGGTGACGAAAGAAAATATATGCATCCGTCAGTTCTGACGTCAAGGCATTCGGAAATACTTTTTCTTCAAACACAGACCTGGACAGATGTAGGCTAATTCAGTGGTTTTTCTTGATATGTAAGGTGTAGTAGGACCAGGGTTCTGGCACATAAATGAGTCCGGGGTACTTGTTGCGCAGCACTGGGTCGTTCCACAGATAGACCACCCACAGTGCCACCAGAAGCACAGTAACAGTGAAACTACAGAACATGAAGAGGCCATTGCTGTCTGGGCTGAGACCTTTACGCTGTTGATGTATCACCATGGCAACCATGGCAAAGAAGGTGAGGAGGAAAAGTTCAGTGATTTGTCCCTCAGTGACCAAGTACCTTGAAGAAATGAAAGAAAAGTAAGAGACGTCATGAACACATAGAAAAACACCAACACTTTGATTTAGTGACACGTAACCACACATTACTGCTGTATAATGTTACAGCAAACTTTTAGACATCTGTTTTACAAGGAAAATGTCCACTTCACTTCCTACATTAGCAGTGAAATTTCAAAAAGACAGGCAAAGCATTTTCTTCCACAGGTTTGTGTCTGCCATTGACGCTGCTCTCCTCAATTTGAATTTCTGCACAAAGTGAAGATGGAAATAACAGAGCTTGTTTTGATCCCAACAAACTAAACACAGTTGTTACTCATTTTGTTAAATATAAAATACAATTTCCAAAAACACCATTTAAATTGGTTCTGTCACACATTTTTGTAAACAACCCTAAGTTGATGCAAACATTACATTACACCCATTACATTTTACATTTAAAAATTGCCCAAAAGTAGTTCGTTTAAAATGTGGCTTGACAGAATGGAGGGAAATATTCATTAGCTAGTCAGAGTCAGTCCCAAATTACCCTGTTAATCCACATGTTTATCTCATTGTATCCTTTACATTGTTATCTGTTTTACTGTATACATTCATGCTAAAGATATCCTTTATTCACTATTTTCATTATCTCACTGATCTTTGGATTACAAATCTAAACTGAAATCATGTACTAAGCACTTCTTATGTAAGGGAGAGGTGCAGCATCTCTACAATGTGAATCAGATTTCATTGTTCCTTTATAGTTTCATATCATTCAGGCACTTCAGAACACTATGTCATGTATTTATGGAGGACACACAAACACAAGGTTTTTAGAAACATGAGAAGGCAACTGACCAATAGTAGAGGGCGCTAGGTCCCAGTAACAGCCAACCAGAGATAGGAATGTTCTTTTGTTCTTTGTCCTTGGTGAAGCAGCCGGTGAAGTAGATGAACAAAATAATGAAGAAAGGAATATACCTAGAATAAAACAAGAGACAGAAACTGTACAGGTAACTGATTCAAGTTAGTATTTCTTTGTAAAGGGATGATGCAAATTTTTTTCAACAAGTACAGCATGTGATTTTTCTGTGTAATTCCACACAAGTAGTAGAATAGTAGTTAAAACTCTCTTTCTATATACTACGCTTAAGCCCGGCGTCAGCACAATCTTTACAACCTAGACAAAAGTGGCAGGGCAACAGCTGAGCCAAAAACATTTAACAAACCCCCATGGCTGACTGAGAAAATGATTTTCTTTTCACCCAACTATGGATTAAACTGACTAAAAATTGACTTGAATTAAAATAACAAAAAAGTGCACTGTATGATCTTGGATTTCTGCACCACATACACACACATACACAGAGCAGGATCATCCAATGCAAACACAGTGCTGCAACGTTATCAGCCGATTGAGCTACTTAACTGCCATAAACTAAGGGCCTATGCAAGTAAAAGGAAAGAGAGGGAGTGATATATATATCTTTCTGTTCAGTCTGCTCATCCATGTTTTGTAATTAGCTACAGATTACAGCACATTGATAATTGGCTGCAGTTCTTGTCTGTCCACTGTGTTAAAATTCTCCACACACACTTTGCTCTTTAATTGGTTTCTTCCATCCATGTGTTGTCAAATGACATCCATTACAATCAGATGTGTCCTTCAGATTTAAACAGAAAGAGGCAAAACAAACTGTTTTATAGCAAAACATTTTGATCCTGTATTCTGCCACAAGCCAGTCATTTTCCACAACACAAATAAACCACAGACACATACCACATTAAGTGTCCCAGCTGTTCATCATAATAATACAGCAGCTCAAAGGAGTCGATCTGTGAAAGAAGGACAAAAAGGATGAAGTATTACAAGAAACGCATTACAACATTAACAGGTATGTTTTAATGGCACAATATATTGTATGTTATTCTCTTGTTTTATACAGTCTATGGTTATTCTGCATTGGTGGGGAAACACACTCTGCCTTAAGCAACAGTGCCATCTACTGTTCTAGTACCATTTATATTTTATTATGGCAATTAAGCACAAACTACAGACAGATTAGAGAAAAAAAACAGTACAAATGCAGATGCTTCCATACAGGACAGGAGGCGGACCTGAATGGTTTGAGTAAAGTTATGTGAATCACATGATATGGCCGTCACAGTCATCAGATCTCAACCCAGCTGAACACTTAGTTTAGCAACTTGCCAGACTGCGCTCTCCACCACCATAATCAAAAACAGCAAATGAGGGAACATCTTATGCCAAGGCAGTTGAAGACGCTGTGTTTATTTTTCCCTTGAATTTGTCACCCTACTATACTTATACACCATCCTTGTTTAAACCAGGCAGAATGTACTGAGCGACTACAATTGTTGGTTCACCTTGCCTACTTTTCACTCTACTTTGATGTCTATATCACATTAAAGCGTTCGCCAAACCCTCTTGACTTGAGCTTATGTGTTTGAAATTAAATGCTTCCTCAGAGGGAAATCCTCATTAAAAGTAATTGTGTTAAACCATTAATTTTAACATTTTACATTTGAACCAATGCCCCTCAGGACCTTTTTTGTGCAGTTTTATAATGTAGAGTTTAATCTCTTTAAAAGTACTTCTGAGGGCAATGGATTACTTACTTGTAATTAACTGAAAAAGAGACCCGCAGACTTTTTAAAGCTCTACAGCTTCATAAACACACTTGGCAAGGGTTAAAAACAAGCAAATATTGAAACAATTTAACATTTCGTTTGAATTTACACA